CTCAAGGCTGGCCCGTCTGTGTAGGTGCCTACCTGTAACATGTAAAACCTGGATTGGGAGTTTTCTGTCAGGACACCGAGCATGTCAGCTTGTGAATCTGTGGCCTACATAGCAGGCTCATCCTGTCCTAATGTAGGATTGTGGGGCAAAACTTCATCTTGACAGTGTGATGCGAACAACAGGAAATGGTGCACTCTTTGTGCTGGAGATGTCTCTGCTCTGCAACAAGAGATTCTCTGAGCGTTTCTATCATGCTGCATTGAAAAGAATGCCAGTCATTTTTCTTTCAAATGAGCTCTTGTTGGGGCAGAACAATAGGTATCCAGAGAGCAGTCTGGGCATTCAGGATAGAAATCTTCTACATATGGACGCATTTTCCGAAATAAATGGGACCCAAACAATGGCACAGTGGAGGAAATTCCCATTTCCTTTTGAAATATATTGTAATAATTTCCTGCAAAGACTGCACACTGATTCCATCAGGAGGTGGCCTGAGGCCAGCTTTCAGAGAAGGTAAACTGTGAGTGGTCTTCTCTCTGCCCACAGACGACGACAGAGTGAGGCCAACACAAAGATAAGAAGCTGTCTTGAGATCGGTGGGGCTTGAATTCTGACACATTTTGTGGGCACTTTTCTGTGGGTTTCACTTCTGCTTGAACCTGCTGTTGATTCATGAGGCTTCATGGTCATTATTCCTTGTCTGAGATTGAGTTTACCTGCAACAGCATAGTGTCCCATTCGGAATAGTGAAAGACAGCTACTGTATCAGAAGTTATCCTTCACACCCATGAGCTCTCTGCTTTATTCCCAAGGAGACATCCTGCCGGTCGATTGTCCTGTCAGCAGCTTCAATATTTCAGCTTTGCCGAAACATTTGGTAATAATATTTTTTTTCAATAAATCAAGCCACAGAAATGTACGGGACACACTGACATTGGTCTCAAAATTCTGTCGTGATAAAATAAAATGAAACAAGTCCACATTTCAGAATACTTTTTTTTGGACAGTCCTTCTAAACTGTTACTGTAAATGACTGCCACAAAAAAACATTACATTTATTTTTTAGCATGCATGTAAATTGTAAGTTGGCTGACAGGAATGTCAGGATTACAGACCACAATTTTTACACTGAGCCAAGAGTCCCCTGCAGAGGCTAAGTTGAAACAGGGCTTCAAAAGCATTTGGATTAGCTGGATTTACAAGAGTATCGATTGCTTAAGAGTATATTTTATTTACATGCAGGCCAGCCTCCATGCAACAATCGTTTTTATGCTCAGTCAGGCTTTTATAGATTAAGGTATCACTTTCAGGGACTTGTGAAGAAATACAAAAGTTTAAGCACCTCCACTCCCCTTGAGATTCATGAAAGCTGGCAGACAGAGAAAGTTATTCCTTTTCTTTCCTGAAGAAGCAGCGAGATATATTAGATTTGGGCTTTTCCGTTTCACACACTAGCAAACCCTGGCCATACATCTTCCCAGTGTGCTTTATCCAGTAAAAAAGCAGGGATGATCAGTCTAATCTAAGGCCATGGTAATAAAAACACATAGTTCTCCCCAACTTGGAGAGTGCTCTCTCCTTGTATTGACATTTGTACTAGGCTGAAACATTAGCCTGGGAAAACTGTAACAGGTGCTGAATGCAATAATGGACGTTTGCATTTAGACAGCACTTTTCATCCCAAAAAGACTCCAAAATGCTTTCCATTTAGAAGGGGAACCTAGCATCATCCACCACTGATGTGGTACCATCCTGGGTGACACGAGACAGCCGTTCTGCACCAGAAGCCCCAGTGCATAGCAGAACTGGTGAGAACCTAGACATTTCTTCATTTCATTTCTTCATTTTTCATTTTTAGGAGGATGTTACAGAAGCCCAGACTGTTCAAACCTAGAGTGGAATTCAGCCAGGACGCTATGGTTAAATCCCCTACTTTTAGAAGCACTGGACCATCCTATGACGAGGTAGTCAGGACCACAGTTTTAGATGTTGTCTGAAGGCTGACAGCTCCTACAGCACAGCAGACCCAATCACCATACTAGGATGTTGGTTTAAAACACACCCATGAATTAATTTGGTTTCCATGGCCTACTTTCTAGTATGAAAGGCCTACTATTCTAGCTGAATTGTATTTGTACCAGCAATGTGAACATTTACAGTGTATAATTGTGTTGGGGTAGAACTTTTTTTAAGGTAAAACTCCTGCTGGGATTAAAAAAGCCTATCCTGAAAGGTGCTGAGCTAGGGTTATGGTTGGAAGAACAGTAAATCTTTGGTTATGGTTAAGCTGTGGTACAATTTGGAATCTTTGAGTTTACCGAATCAGATAAATAGATTGTGTTTTCCTTCAAGCCTAACATTTCCTCAACCCTTTCCTTTTTGAAAACACTTTGTGAAACTGTTCTTGCTTTTGGTGTCTGCTGTGCTCTGCCACACTACTGTTCTATTTACTATGGAGTAAAACTCTAAAACACTCTTTTTGTGAATATTCCTTCTTATACTGTATCTCTTCTCTGTGATGTTTTTTGTCCTTTTGTAATACGTAAGAGCCCCTTTGTTCTGCTTCTCACTCTGTAGTGAAAAACATTGCATTTCTTTTTAGATTTATTATCAAGCACAAACCTTGAACCTTCTGCAGTTTTCAATGCACTTGAGAGAGAGAGTAATGATTATTACGCAGTGTCATAGCCTGATCCATATAGAAATGAGGTACAGCGTGATGCAGTGTCTTTGACAAACTCTTTAGGCTCAGAAATGTGAATGATGAGTACCTTCACTCACCAGCATGTCTGGTCCATTAAACGTTCGCATGTCTTGGTGTGGAATTCTTCAAGTGGACTGACAAATGCAAACAGCATTTCATCTGCAGGTGTTCTTTAGCTGTCAGGTTTTGAAACGCGAATTTGGTGTCACAAATGTAAATCACGTGAAAAGGGATCTTTTATGGCACAGTGTGGGGCGTTTTAATTTCAAAGCAAAGAACAATGATAAAACCCACCCATCTGTAGGTCTGGACCAGCGTTGGTCTGGAATACAGTCCAGCTGTGAGCTAGCAAAGTATTGTTATTAAGACTCACATTTCAATCCTCTTTGCTTCTCAGGTCCTGAAATATTATTTATGTGCTGTCTTGGCATTTCCCAACTACGGTAACACTGACTAATGTTAAATAGTGATCACACAGTCATTGGCTCTGACAGTCAAAAGGGTTTAGTAATCAAAAATGTTATGTTCTTGTATCATGTGTTTAGGGGTGTGATATGGCCTCAGATGGAGGTAAAATAAAACACATAAATGCATTTGAAATCATGGCTTAATAGGATGTTATCGTGTCTTGGCAAAGCTGTTCAATGCTGAGACAAAACTAGCTTGACTTCTGGGAGCTACACTGACCCTTATAGAAAGTGACTACCTACATTTATGATTTTAATGTACTAAAAGCACATCTCAGTACAACCTGCAGGGCTCAAAATAATGAGGAAACAGAATACAATACTCCCGGGGCTGCAGCTTAAATTGATAAATATTCAAGCGTGGCCTTGTACTAATGCAGTTGCTCTTGTACATAGCGAAAAATGTCAGAAATGCCACACTTCATAAGAGTGAGCTGTAAAACTTTATTGAAGACTTCCCTTCTTTCAAGCAAATAAAAAAATAAGCATTGCGAATAATAATGGTGGGATACGTTGTAGGTGAAGCACTTTTTAAATGGGAAGCAGAAAAAACGCCTGGAAGATTTCACAAAAATGGTCTTTCAAAGGCAAACAGCTAAGAAAAATCTTCCTTATTTCCAAGAAAGCTTGCTAGCAGTCAGGGAGGGTTTGATCAACTTTAATCTGGGGGTTCGCACGGCCACAGTAGACCGTGTACTATGAAGCAGAAGGCGTGCACATGAAAAGAAAGGAACTGGTTGCCAGCCCATTAAACTCCAGAATCTTAAAATTTAAAATGACTGCAAATATGACCTTTTATAGACTGCAAAATACACTGTGTACTTGGACTTTGTGTATTAAAAACTGCATTGAAAACTAATGGAGTGTCAAGTTAGACTAAGGGCACGAAACTTTCCATATGTACATTTAATAAAACCAAGAATGCCTTAAAAACATCCTTAATAGTTGTTTTTGAACAAAGGATACACTTTTTGTAAGACTCCTTACTTCATTTGAAAGAATTTTGTAATTGGATCACACCGATCTTAGTTCCGCTTAACTGGTTGCACGTATCAGTGATCTTGCATTTGCTTGTGAGTCTGTTGATGTGCTTCTGTGTCAGGTGCTGATGAAAGCCTTCCGTTTTCTTTTTTTTTTTTCCCAAAGACGGCTTTATGAGGAGGATAGAAATGCAAATTAATATTTCATAAGGAAGTGCAAAGTCAGGTCAGCCGTTTCAGCGATGGCAGTCTGTCAAGTCAATAATTATTGAGATAAAGCTAAAATCTGCCCCGAGAGGGTTTAGCTTGTATCAGTGGAACTGAGTCCCAGGGAGAATCGTAATGAATTATGATGTTAAGAGGCATCCCTGAATGATTTAACAGTGAGCCCCTTTCCCATCCACTTTCCTTCTTCAAGCAATTGCTAGCACATTCAGCAGCTTGAGGCTACGACAGGAGTCTTCAGTGCAATAACTAAGCTTCTTTTGAGTTTGCTTATTTATTTTTCTTAATGGAAACGTGCTCGCCACAGTGGAGCTACTGTAGCATCGTACCATAAGAAAAGGTACGAATGGGAGGGGGTCATTCACACCATATAGCTCATTTGGTTAGAAGGATGTTGGTTATTGTTGCAGAAATGCTCGCTTGGCTAGAAGGTTTCTCAAAACTATGATAGACAGTGAGGAAAAATAACTGGTTTGGGTGTTGGAATCGATTTTAATTTGTCTTTTTTTTTCTTGGAAACTTTTCTCTTTACTAATTTCTAAACTGACAGGTGGGGAAATTGACAGCGCAGGTCACAATGTATTAATTCTTTCTTTTCTCTTCGTTCATTTGTTAACTGACAGGATGGGAAGAGTGACAGTACAGGTCAAGGTGGATTCGTGGGGCTATAAAGTGAGTATTGCAGACTGATGTGTCTCCAAAGAAAGTTTCGTTTATTGTCACAAAAGTCCCACTCAGCCTACACAACTGTTGCCTCAAATTATTTTCACTATTTTCACCGTGTCTGCAGAGTTATGGCTTAGCTGTGGATACCTTCCTCTACCTTAGAGTATGCGTGTTTTGTTTCCCCACAAGGTCTCCCTGACACACTCTGACCTCTCTGGACAAAGTACTTGCTTAATTAGAATGAGCTACTCCCTGACAATTTATAGCTGCCTTTAAAAACGTCTGTCCTACCACACGCAAACCGCTTTTATCATGATAATGAGCGAGACGAGGGTATTGCTTAGTTTTCAGCCAGAACCAGTAGAGCTGGTCGGCCTGAATTATGGATGTTTTAGCCACGAAAAGCACTGCATTTCTCTTTTGGCCATAGAGAAGAAAAAAAAAAGAAGTATATTTACTCAATTCAATTACAGACGCTGTTGAAACCATTGAAGAGAGTAATTTACCTCTTGGGGGACCTTGAACAAAAGAAATTCCCCAGTGAAATCTGTTAGGACAACAACCACCCAATATGTAAAGCTCTATGCCTCTTTGGTAGATTATTTTTGGTAGATCTGACGTGCATTCTCTTGCAACATAGTGCACATCTTTTGAGAGCACAATTCACCCTTACGCCACAGGTACAACAACAGGCAGAAATCTCCCAGTATTCACCTCTGCCATGTCAGTATGGGTAAAGAGTTTCATTCACCCCCTTCAATTATAATGTGTTGAGCCACTGATGTTATTTTTACTTGTGGTAGGTAAACTCTGTGCTACACTGGTTATCACCATTGTTCCATCCTCCATTTCTCCTCTCTTCATCCCCCAGGAGTCATGGCCTGTGTCTTATCAAAACAAATGTCACAGCACTCTCCTCCCCACTACCCTCACCGTTGAGCTCCGGCGTTGCTCCTTCGATAGCGGTTTCGAAAGACTTTAACTGAAGGAGGACAAGCTGCTTAATGGATTGAGCAGTGTGTAAAGCACCGATCACAACTCATTGCCCAAAGTGAGGCCATGTCATGAGAGTCCCTGAAGTGAAACTGACTGGTGCAGGAATGTCTGACAGTGTTGGTACGTGCCCTGCACTATCGTGGTAATTAAGTTTTTAACGAATTTGAAAAATGTTAATTAAAGGAAGTATCAGGGTGTGAAACTACAAATTCCTGTAGCTTCTTCTCAATGTTACATCAGAGCATTGGTATATTCCGATCTTGAGAAGAACACAATATTGTCTAAATTATCCTGTAATTAACAACAGCAGATTGCTGAAAATGCCTGTGGCACCAAAGAACACAACATATAAAATCCACAAGACGGTTCTCTGTGGACCGTGTAACAAGAGAGTGGTTACAAATGGCCTGTGATACCCAATTATAAAATGCTGTTCTGTTCTTTTTATTTCCTCACCAAGAGGTCAATGATGTATGTAAGGTGACGATAATCTATGCACGCTTGAGAGCGATTGTTTATCTGGATTTTAACACGAAGAGTCAAAGGCAAAAACAGACATCACAAGACTAGAGATGCATTTTATCACAAAGGTGATTTGGAAGGCGCTGCAGGCTACAGATTAGATGTCAGCATCAGACCCTCCGGTCATTCGCATTCTAATCTGAGAAGGAACTGTATCGGGATTGTGGAAGTCCATCTGCTGCACCTGTTTCCTGTTATGTCTACAAATGTTAAGAAAGGATTGAGTCCCAAAAGCAGCAGCCAACATGGCTCACTCGCCCCGTTGGGGACCTGCAACTGTAAGGCTGCCATGTCTGAATTAGATGATTTTCAGCCTGTCAGAAACAAGCAGTGTGCCTCAGGCGATGTGATTCACTGTGTACCAAGCTCACCTAGCTCTCTGACATCCGCGGTCTTCATCAGGAGTCCTGTGTCATAACCAACACGGCTGTATCCTGGACAAAAACCAGCAACAGCTAAAAACCCCACTTCTTTAAACCATGGCTTAGTAGCTCCTAAGATACAATAACAAGGGTCAAACTCTTTGTGAGTGCTGGGAGTCAATGGGTATGAAGTTCAAGTAGATGTGATTTCCTTATTGGTTTTCTGTCTGCCTTAGCATTTGTAACCTAAAGCAGCAGAGCGGAGAGGAGTCACAGATAATGAATCAGCCCTCTCCGTCAAGCTGGTGAAGATGAAAGCGCATGTCTTCAAATTCAAGATGGCTACCTGCTAGGCTTTGAGGATAGAAGCTGTTGAAAGAGATTCTGTCTTTGCGGCTGGGGATCTCTCTCCGTCTTCACATCTATCCTCCTCTTTGATGTTGGCTGTGACCCCTCTGTCTATCTGGATTAAGATAAAATAGAAGCTCTGTATTCTGCTTATCTTCCAGGAACTCGGGCTGACACCTCACATGTCTGCAAATATGTAATAAATGTGGAGTTCAGGAATGTCCTTCTCAGTGGGCAGCCTTCACATCCTTGTTGCGAGGTGTGTTTCCTGCTTCACTATGTTCTTGGGAGCTTCCTCCGTGTCCTTTGTGATTATCTGCGGGCTAAGTGTGGCATACTCTGCTCAAGCAAACATTATCCCTTGAAAAGAAACCTGTCATTCCTGTTTTTTTTTGCATACTTGTGTAATCAACAGTTCTGCTGGTCAAACCTTTTTCCAAGGTAATAGGTTAGGATTGTAAATCCTGTGAACATTAAAACATGTAGCTTTTTGACATGATTTCTAGTTCTGCTCTGCGGGATATTACATATATGAAAATACTCTGCAGTCAGACTTTCAGGTGTGCCAAGTACTCAAGTACTTTTAACCCAAGCTGTGCATTTGTACTTTATGTTTGCTGTGCTCTGAATGGGTCTGTTCTTCATCTGTGTAATATTGTGCATATCTGTTAACATTTCCCCAAGTCTGATGCAGGAAAGCTAAATGCATGCTTCTGTCTTTTCCAGGCTTGTTTGCTGCAATGCACTCTTGACTCTGTCAGTGAACGGCTACCCACACGCACACCCACATGTCACCGGCCCTCTTCAACCTGGCTGTCCTTCAGTTCCCAACATTAGGCTCCAATCATGTTCTGTTCGGTTGTGGAATGGTCTCAGTCCATATCTCATCTTGCAGGTTAGTCAGTGCCTTCAAATCCGGTCGTTCATTTCAGTTTAATTTACTGTTTGAATTCGTGTGTACCTGTCTTGTTTTGCTGTACTGCCCCTTGGGTGATGTACCAATCAAGAGGAAATAATGGTTGGTTATTACTACATGGCATGGTTAAGTACCACAGCGTAATTAACCTTGCTTAATCTAAATCTTAACTTGCCTTGTTGTTTAAAGGTTGTTGCCTTATTTTGTTACTTAATTTTACACAAGCTCATCAAGTCACTGTGAGTCAGGTGAGTTTGACACAAACTACGAGTCACTTACTGAAAAGGGCTTTTCAGAATGAAGCTTTCTACACTGAACAGTTGCTTTTTAATATCGTTTAAAGACAAGGTTGTCTCACTTTATATTTGCAGGCAATCGTGTTTACTTTTATTTCTTTCATGCAGTTTATATTTGAGGTATTTAGCATTTCTGACACTTGAAGCCAAATCCCTGCACTAGTATGAGTTGATCAAGTGGCTTAATTTGTTTCAGGTTTTTTTTAATTAGCTTTGAATTAAACGCACTGAAATATATTTGGGGAACGTAATCGTCTACATGAAAGAGTTACCTGCTCTGCCCCCTTTTCCTGGAAACTTGCAAAAAAGCAACCAACTCCAGCTCCTTATCTGCCCGACTGTCATCCCCGCACTGAGAGCCTCCCACTCGCACACTTTCAGGTCGCCAGCCCCAGCTAGTGGCGAGAAGGGGAAGAACAGTCTTTTTTTAGAAAGAGTCAACCTTGCAATGTGCAAGACTTTTACACTCTGTAGACTCGGGGTGCAGTTTTAGACCAGTCCTGGCGCGGCGAGAGTGATGTTGTCGGCGAGCGGCTATTGGCTGAGTTGGACTTGCCGGTGGGAGTTGCGCATTTTACGCCCAGCCGGACATACTGTACGACTCCGCAGTGAAGTGAGAGCAAGCGCAGACGGCAGCAGGTGCAAGTCAGGGCGGGGAGCTGGTGTAGGCTCTGTCTGCAGCTGCAGTGTGCTGGTACTGCTGAATTCAGCGTGGCCCTGGACTGTGCCAAGAAGACCAGGGAAATAAAAGCACCTTCGAGAAAGTGTTGTTTGGAAAGAAGCATTAAGCCTATTGACATTTATATGTTTTATTAGTAACGTACAATTTAATTTGAAGGTCCCCTGGGCATACCCCTGGAGATCCTTTAAGGAATTTATGCATATTTAACAAAGTGCTCAGCCAGCAGTTTAGTCAGTACATCTGCTCCACTGTTCTGACAGTTTCTGCACTAAACAGGGCAGCTGTCGCTGTGATTGAGTTTAGGTGTTTAAGTAATTCATTTAAATTTGCTATGTGAATAATTTATTTCAATTTACATTTTAATCATCTTGCACTTTTTTTTTCTTTTGCAGTGCCTAATTTTACCAACAATTTTCGAACAGCATATGTTCTCACAATAACAAGGCTTAGGAGGATTATCTGTGAGCTGGGAACCAATGAACTCCAATATTATGCTTATACGGATAGTGATAGATCAGCTTTATCAGGGTTACACATTTCTACAACAGCCATGTTCAGTAATGCAGTAGTAGCTACTGTAGTGAATAAACTGATTTTTTAGTAAATGTCTCCCTTTCTGTCCACTTGCTTTCAATTCACCAATGGAAACGCATTCAGTTTTTAATGTTTCTGTTATTAGATCCCTGACATTTGTAATACGAGACAGAAACAGAGATTAAACTATTTAGTGCCTGCACACCTGGTCATAGTAATGCCACTAAATAGATTCTTCAATATTTCAATTACAAACGCCTGATGTGGGATTTTGGAGTTTTAGGGTTATTTGAGAATCCAGTGTTTCTTGGACCTCACAGCTGTTGAGAGAAAATAAGGCACCTGTGGTAAAATGGTAAAATGTCAAACTTAAGCACTGCGCCTGTGTTCCATAAGAGCTCCTACATAGTGCTTCTGTTACAGGTCTTGACATGGTGCTTTCTGGTTGTGTAATATTCACATCCACTGGAGAAAAAATCTGGGACTGATATTAAACATTTCACACTAGATTTCTTTAACGAATTCATGCAGAATTCAAGCAGAATACTTTAACCCGTGTATTTAAGTTATTTTATTAAAGCTAATAACTAATTGAATATATTTCCACAAGTACTGTTTAGCCTCATATGTGTAATTACTTAATATCTTTTAATATCCCAATTCATATTCAAAATAGTCATATTTGTTTTACTCGTTTAATACAGTTGTTAGAAATGAGCTTTCTCCATCTTTGTTCCAAGTAGAATTGTTGGACTAAAGCTGGAACAAGTTTGGAAATGAATGAATGCATGAATGTTCATTTTGCTGTTTTTGTAAAGTGATAATCAAAGTTCACTTTGTACTTAACTGCCTTTCCTATTAGCTTTAAAGCTTTGATTTATGAAAATCGAATCTCTTTTTATATTGTTTTGCACTCTGCCGTACTCATTTTCAGATCTTCAGAGAATTATGTGCTAAAAGTTAAACATCTATGGCCATTTATCAAGATTTAGGTGGTGTATTTTAGGAAATAAAACTACCTTTTGCCATTTGTAAAAGGATATTCTGCTTCCATATGTTATTTACTAGTCATTTGGTGTCATTATGGGAGAAGAATAGTGCCAAAGTCATTGTTAATACATTATTATGACAAGGAAGACATAATTTTTCAGGATGAGCTCAGCTGTCCAAATCCCAGATGGGCTGGGATGTAGTGAGAGCTGAGTTGTGCTGTGACAGATCAAGAGATACATCTGCACTGTTAGGTAAACATCTGTAACCTCCAGGAAAGATTACAAATTGCCAAACACACACACACACACACCCGCCTGATGAAATGTGCTCTGATGCACACATGACAGCTAACATATCTGCTATCAAAGCTAAAATTGTCTGTCAGGTTCAAATTAGAGGAAACTTTCCTTTCAGATATTTCTGGTTTCAAAAATGAGATGTGGTAAACCTTTCTTGACTCTCTGGTCTGTTTACACATGAAATATAATTCCTATGATATGTGTTAGTTCTCTTTGAAGGTGCTGGATCTTAACTTTGACTTATTTGGAAAAAATTGGTCACAATTTTCGAACTTTCGAATCCAGGCCAACACGTTAGTGAGACTAGCAGATTCTGTGGATTATGTCTTAAATCATTAGCCCTCTTCAAACTACCAATCACAGCCCCCAAACCCCAGATCCCCAAATGATGCCATGTGCCCACAGAAAACAGAATACTGAGATTGAGTGATAGAGATCAGGAGATGAGTCAAAATTTTGACTTAATCTGGGATTTAATTCTGTTACACAGCAAAAAAAAAAGTGTTTTTACAAAAATGAGCCAGGAAGGTCAGGTTTGATCTCTGAATTTGCTCCACATTATAGTGGTTCACCATGCTGTGCCCTGCTTTCACGGGACAGTCTTGTGGAAAATTCTGCTCAACAGGCTGAGGGGATTAAAAAAAAAACTTTCATCATTGCAAAATGACTTTCATTTACAATAAAAAGCAGAAGTGAGAATCTGTGTCCTCATCTGTGCCTGCCAGTCTGCAGAGCTAATGTGAAGGGCTTGAGCTTCACAGCACATAGGTTTGGACATGGCCTCCAAACCAGATTAACGATATGCAATCTGTGAAGTCTCCCATGAATTCGGTGCTGAAATCATATTCTCGTCTTCAAAACAAGGATTTAATGATATAGCTCCCGGGAGATTAGACATATCCCAGAACCTCAAAAGTGCACACTGTAATTCAAAGCATAGTGGAGATATTTCAGAAGAGATTATTTACGTCTGAAAGCCAAACTTGTTGTGAGATGTACTCCAGGCTTGTGCTATAATGCACTCTAAAATTACTGCACACGCTCACATCATTTTTCAGATGGTTACTTAAAACTAATTGATTAACCGATCCCATCATTTTATGAATGGCCATCAGCTTGGGGTTATAAAGAATGCAATTAAGGTATTTCATCACGTGGTACCAAACTGCAGCAAACACTGTCAGAGACTAAATGTCATCCTCATAGTTCGAGTCTTATTGCATTTTCACATTTTTGGAATACATTTAAAGGGAAGCACTGTTCATTACAACACAGACATCTGAGAGCCCATTTGAGAGATGTACTATATAATTTAACTTGATGTTTTATTATGGTGACCTTTAAGACTGAATTTCAGTTATTATAAATTTGAAATGAGGTGTCAGTGCAGTTCTGTACTATTGGTATTATTCATTTAGATATTTAAAATTCATGGTGCATGCTCTATTTCAATATATTATGTGTCTTATTTTGCTGTAGCAGCTGTGACATAAAAAAAAACAGAAAAAGGCAAACACTAATTTTCTGTGTACAGACAAACATTTTGTGTTTTTTAAAAAGGTGAAAGAAACCAACATCTTCAGTGCTTCATAGGAAATACTAAAATACTTTCAATTTTTTAACCAAACAGTTCCCACCCGACTATTTATAATAGAAAATGTGTGGTCATTCTTATACTTTGGAAATGTACAAGACTGGAAGTAACAGCTAACTATTCTTCAATGATGCTGGTAGTGCCCCTTCTGTCTGCAATTAAAGTTTTTTTTTTTCACATTTCAGATCTTCATCTGTCTGTGAATTGTTCTTGCTCGGTTTGTCATTTAATTATAATTACAAACCAACCCACAAGGATTCAGATCAGATGAATACAGAGTGCAACAGCAGCTCTCTGACATGACCAGCCACACACATCCCTTACAAACACTTGACAACACTGAGTCAATTTGACACAGCAGTGCAGAAAAACAGAACTATGGGCATCTACCATTTCAGCGAGGGCATCTCTAAATTTGTAAGGGGAGTTCTGTGCATAAAATAAATGATCAGACAGTCCTTTCTTGACTACCCTGTTTTTTGACAGAATGGTAAGTCATATTGTGTTAATTAAAGTCTGGGCAGTAAAAGGGGATCTTGCAGAGTGCTCACAACATTAGCTACAGGAAACAAAACCAGTTCTGGGGATGATGACGTTGTGTCTCCCAGTCAGCACTCCTTACCCCCAGTACAAAGCCAATCTGCTATCAGGTGTGATTGGGCAGCAATATTTTATTTTTAAAGATAAGCTGAAGGAGATTCTGAAATACATTAAGAAGGAGAACAGACTCTAAACAATATACTGTACAACATTTTGAGCATTCTTTGGCAATAGTCCAAGCTAAATTGCCAGTCCTGAAGTTAGTTCTGAGCAATTTCTTCTGTCACCATATTTCAGAGGTTTCTCACCCTTGATGTGCCATCCATCAAAGGCAGGAGGTGGCTGGGAAGAGCCACCAGCGAGAGGTAAAATAAATCTTGTCCTCCCTCTTAGACCTGGTGTATGGAAAGGTGCAGGAAAGTCTCCATGTATAATTCATCACCGTCCTTTCGCTCACTTGTGAGGGAGGGGGTGTAGTCTAGTGAGAATCCCTCCAGCGCCACACGAGCCCTCGTCCTTCTGCTGATCAACATTCCCTTCTGCATCCCAAGAACTGGGCTCCACTGCTGCACAGACTTTGTGGGGCTGACGTTACAAATCTCTAGCCTGTGCTGCTCGGCGGCTTCTCCTGCACCTGCAGAGAGTAGCCGACATGAAATCAGAAAAGACCATAAGGTGAGATGCAAGACTGAAGGGAGAAAGACCTGGCAATTAGATATTTCTGTCAATCAGAGCAGGTGGCAGCCATTCAGTATGGGGCGAGCTCTGGCGTGGCGGGACACTGCAAATATCTGTGAGATGAGTCCTCTCTGCTCGTGTCCTCAGCAGTTCTGCAGCGCTTGTGCCACCTGTCCTGAGGGCAGCATCAGGGGCTCCAGCCCAGACTCACGCAGGAGACGCACAGGTATGGACACATGTAGGCAGGGACGCCTCAGGCGGTGGAGCCAAAGTGCAGGCAGACAGTGTGACACACAGCCTTTGTGTTGTTAATGCCTTTATGGTTTAATATAATTAAATAAATTATATCATTAAATTAATAGCTTAATATTAGTTCGTTTTAATTGAATTCACTAGTGTTTCTGAGTCCTGTCTGTACAGAACAACATCTGAGAGCAGGAGCTGTTCTTCCTTGAGCTCTTTCAGAGGCTGTTATATCTCTTCAACAGTGTGGTGACCAGACCTGAACACAGTATTCTTACCAGTGTTCTGTAACCCTTCATCATAACTTGCCTGGATTAACTCCACCCTCTCTGCTGCAGATCCCAGCGGAGAGATCCCAGCAGGGCTGTGTGCTCTGGTGCTGTGTCCACAAGCTGTCTTGATGCGGACAGAAGACTCTGCAGAAACAGATCCTCTCATGAGGAGCTTCTTGGAGCTCCCAGTGCCTCAGGAGAGATGTGTAGTGTGTGCTTTTGCCTCCTGTGTGCATCGCTGTGCCTTTATCACTGACGTATCTTCACTGTCCTTATCAAGACAAACACCCTTTCTCAATTAGTCTCGAATACTTATGATATTAATTCCAAATAATAAGTTTAATTAAATACTTAAGATCAGTGGTGCACTGAACAGGGGAT